AGATTGTACACAGGAATTACTGTTAGTCTAGAAAATTGGCAGATCTCTTTTAAACACAGGACTTCATTATGTCCAGGTTAGGTTTCTAATTCTGGACATGGTTTCCCTCCTCTTGAGCAGGCCTTAAGTTCAAATAAATAGCTGTTACTTACTGCACCTTTATGGGTATCTTGCCATATTGGTAATTGTTGTGATTCACAGGTGTTACAGTTGGATAGGAAGGACTATTAATTGCTTACCTTCCTTGGCAGCTTGTATAGTATTTTCTGGTACTATGGAAGCTGGAACACAGAAAAGAGGCTTTCAGGTTAGATCCAGATCAAATAATCTTGGTCTTATGTTCTAAATGTGGAGTATCTTCAGCAGTAGGATCTTTCCTTCAGCATCTTAGAGGCAACCAAGGGCAACAAACATAGTCATTATCATTTGGTGAGTCTTATACTACCTTTAACAAGTGTTTTAAAGGAGACATTTGTGTGCCTAAGGCTTGAGATTTCTTTATGGAGACATTGACAGCTGTAGATCTTAAAATATTTTTAAGGTATATACATATATACATACATTTATATTATAATTTGGGGTGACTATCAAATAATGATTCCTAGAAGGTTTTTTCAAATAACCTTGGTATTATTTATCCCTTACCCTACTTCTCCTTCTGCACTGACCTCCTTTCCCATCCCATTTGGAACCTACTTCCCATTTTTCATTTTGTACTTTTTATTAATTTCATCCTGTTATTCCACACATGGCTCATTTACATTTGTAATTTCTGTGGTTGCTCCATGTTATATATTCAACATCTGAGGACTTGGGACTAGGAATAACAAACAAAAGAACATGTGGTGTTTATCTTCCTGGGTCTGGGTTATCTCACTCAATAAACTCTTTAAGAAATGAAGTTATCAGTTGAGAATAAAGATCATGGAGAAGGATTCAGAAAGATGAGGATAGTTAAAAAGATAAGGCAATTGGAGTATAGGCTGAATATTACTTTGGGGCCTCTGAAGGGATTTCTTTTAAATCATGAATTTTAAAAGAGTAGCTTCCTTTTAGAAACTCAGATCTTGTCCTATCCACAATGCAGTGCTCTCATGGTTCCAGATATTATTATCATATGGATGTCCTGAATTATGTAGAAATTGGGAAAACATCATTGAAGTTCAGGAGGAGAAAAAAACAGGACAGTTTCTTTGTGACTTTCAGCAGATAGGCTCCTAGTCAGGCTGTTCTAGTTAGATTAGATGTACCTCCTTATCTTCAAGCTTCTGATAATTTGTTTCTTCATAACAGTGTTATGAGTTTCACTTTTTTCTTAATTTCTTTCATTTTTTAAATACACAGATTTTTTCAGTTCTAATTGTTATCTTTTTTATATATTTATTTTATATAACCAAGTCCATTTAAATGAAAACAAACATTTATAGACAATATTTGGGAATTTGGGCATCGTTCTTTCCAAACTACTTCCTGCTGGTAAGGGGCGCTGTCATGGGGGATTCTAAGAAGATGCAGAAATCCTGGCTGTAGTCTGTAAGGCTGCTTTGTCCAGCTGTTTTGAATGTAGGATCACCTGGTACTCTGTTTCAGGAGGTCTGGCTTGATCAAACCACATTAATCTGGAAGGAATCCACATCTTTTTATTTTCTGTGGAAACAAAAATAGAAATCCTTTTCCCCAGTAACTTGTCCTTGAACTTAAATTTTGGAGTCAAAGCATTTTTTATTTAATTTATTATTTTACATGTCAATCCCAATTCCCTCTCCTTCCCTCCCTTCCTCCCTCCTTCCCTCTCTCCCTCCTTTCCTTCTTCCCTCCCTTTTACCCTCTCTGCCCTCTCACATGCACTCTAACCACCCTCCCCTCCCAACCCCCACCCCAAATCCATATGTAGGGGAATGCCATACAGTTGGGGTCATGTAGATCTGACAGGTCACGTGAAGTAGGGACAAGGGCTTCTTTCCTGTCTCTAGATTAAGGCACTTATCCCTCCATTGGGGATGTGTTCGCAAGGTCCTTTTATGCACCAGGGATACACCCTGGCTCCATTGAATGAGGTCCCTTACAAAGCTCAGTCCTTCTGGCTGAGACCCATATTCAGCAGGGCCTGAGGTCAGTCCCATGCTGGCTTCCCAGCTATCAGTCTGGTGGCCCCTTAGCTCCTCCTTGTTCAGATAAGCTGTCTCTATGTGCTTCTGCCACCTGATGTTGTCCTCTCCATCTGCATCTGGGTTCTACTTTGACTCAGTGTTTATGTATGGGTGTTTGCTCCTGTTTCCAACAGACATTAGTTGAGGGCTCCATGGATAAGTTAGTTGTTGATCTCACTCTCCGGGAAGGGCATTTATGGTAGCCTTTCCACGGAAGCTCAAATTATTAGTGGGCAGCAGTCTTATAGTTCTCTAGACCTTTCTTTGTGTTCAATTTTATCTTCAAACCACTCTTGGCTCCCTCTGTTATGTTCTCTCTCTCTCTCTCTTTCTCTCTTTCTCTCTTTTCTCTTTCCTGTCTTCTATTCCTAACTGGGCTCAATCTTCCTGTTTGTTCAAGGGTACCTCCTACTTTCTCTTTTAAGAGGTTCAATGTGGCTGGATTGATGTTGAGGTCTTTGATCCCTTTGGACTTGAGTTTTGTTTTATACTCTGATTATTTATTTAAATGTTTAATCTGGTGGTTTTTGTACTCTTGTACCCTAATGGATTTCCTGACATGACTTTTTCTTTGTTATTTAAAACTGATGAGTTAGTCCATGGGCTTCTTCATAATATGTTGGACAAATCCATCCCCTACTCTTTCTGAATCAATATGTATGTAAAACAATCAATCCACAATGCTGAATATGATATTTAAACTTTTTCTGAAATATGATATAAAAGAAATGTTTTTCATGGAGAAAGTTAAACCCACATTTTTTCATGATTCTAGAGGACATGAAAAGGTTTAGCTTTGGGTTTAACTACTGTTAGACACCAAAACAGAGTGAATACATTGCTTATAATTTTCCTGGAATCATTAATAGCTTTATCATTACCATAAGTTTTCTGGTTAGAAGTAGATGGTACTGACTGATAGTTATTAATCCTGAAAAATGTCTTTACTAACTAGCTGGTGATATTTCTTGTTGCCCAAGTGCATATAGTGTGGAGGGCCACCGTCTTATTGGTGATACCATTGCTACCACCCCAAAGGCCTGAGTTGTAAAAAATGTAATCTTACTATGTCAATTTCTCTCTTGCCTTTTAAATTATTCTACATATCTTTACTTTCATGTCTTGTCTAAAGTCCTTTGCTGTATCTGCTTACTTGGAATAAGGCTAGGTGTGGATTAATGAGTTTAAATTAAGTCAATGACTGGCATGATGACTTAGTGGTTAATAACACTGGCTGCTCTTCCAGAGGATCTGAGTTTGATTCCCAAGACCCATGTGACAGTACAGAACCATTTTTATCTCCAGTTCCAGGGTATCTGACACCCTTTCTGACCTGCATGAACTCTACACACATGTGGTGCACAGACATACATGTAGGCAAAAATCATTAATACACATAAATATTTCAAAATTTTAAAAATAAGCCCCAAATGGACAGGTTAGGAGTGTATAAGAGTACAAAATCTCTACATGTTTAGGCATTGAAACAGTTTGTTATGGGATCCTTCCCCACAAAACATGCATATTACTGAATCTAAAGAATCTTCATTTATGAGCTCAAGTCCAAACTTTCATCTCAAGAAATGCAGTATTCCCTCTTGCCTGATAGAGGAAAAGTCATGAAGCAAAGAATTTAAGTCCACCGTGAGAAGAAAGATTCCCCCTTTAAGATACTAGATATGGAATACCTTGATAAGCATGATTATGATCTTTGTGAGATCAGAGAGTAACTCAGAAAGGTTATAGATTTAAGCTCGTCTTTCTGACCAAGGTTCATCAGTCTTTTCAGGAGTTATGGCTTTCATTTTGTGTTTCATCATTGCATTTTATTTCTTCCTGAGGATATTTTTGATGTCAAAGCAGAAAAAAAAAGACATAAAAAAGGCCAGGAGTCAGAAGAGAAATTTTTAATCAATGAAGGAAAAACACAGGGTCAGTCTCATTCTTCTTTGTCTGCAGGCCTTTTCAAATGAAATTTCACCTCTTATCTCTAATATTATTATTAATCTGAGATTCTTTACCCCTCTAGGATGGTTGTGCATGAGACCTAAAACCTAGGGATGGATCATTACATGTATTTCACATCATTTAACCATTTAAATGTCTAAGTACATGTGCAGCTTTATAGACTATCTGAAACTTCCCATTGCCAAATTAATTGTATCAAAATGTCTTTGTAAAATTATCCATGATTTTGAAATGGCTGTCTAAATGCCACAACACGATGTTGTACCTTTATGCATAGCATTTGTGCTTAAAAGAGTAGGTTCCATGTATTCATGCATACACTTTTATGCCTAACATCTTTACCAAAATGTGAATATCTTGCTTCAAATCCTTGTGCATGCATTCGTAGTATTTTTGTTTTTAACAGCTGATTTGCAAGAATTGACTTTTTCTTAAAGATCATTACAATATTCTGTACCTGTCTGATGATATAGTTCTGTATTCAACCTAAATTCTCAGCTGTGTTTTATCTATGAAGCTTTTCACATTATGACACTTGAAAGATGGGCTTAAATTCAATCTTTGGTTAAAAGCATTGCTTAATGCTTAGATTGTGCCTGAAGTGTAACTGCCATTTACACATCTTCAGAATACCATTCTCTATCACTAGATGGGTGACAGACAGATGATAGTTAGCAGATAGCTGTATTAATAGATGGTTGCAAAGTTCCTAGTATCTTTACTTACTTTTGTTCACTTGTCATATAGTAGGAAGTGGCTTAGAGCTATCATGATACTTATATGTTAGCATGGAGATGCAATTTGAGCAATTATACATGGTATTTTACATTTCCTTAAAATCATGACTAAACATTTTTTTTCCTCTCTCAAAAATCTGTGTAGAATCCTTGGAACCTATCATACCAGGAAGTCTTTTCCAGAAGTTCTTTTCCTCCATCATCACAGCTATCCAGAATGAATTCCAAGTAAGCAATATATCCTGTAAATGGGAAGTGAAAAGTACAAATACTGAAAAAGAAAGACAAGAGTATTTCATTTAGAAATTATTTCATTTAGAAATAATTGATTTGGATAGTTTAAACTTATATGTTCTTTTTTTTGGTGGGTAGGGGGCAAAGTTGCAGAGACAAACAGACAGAGAGATTAACATTGTTTCCAACTATGCATATCTATATAATGGTATTTTTTTTTCAGCAAAAAAACTCATTAGCATATTTCCTGAGGAAAAACTCAGAAGTTATCAAAATTAAATTGTAGAGCTTTTAACGCTGTGCTACCTGTTTAAGCATCACAATTTTGTAGGCATTCTGAGAAAGAAAGTAGGGACGATTCCCTATCAAGCCTCTATTTTTTTGTAATGTAATTTAAAACATGGTTTGGTACTTTCTAGTTTATGACTACACCATTATTTCATTATGCCTCTTGTTTCAATCTAATAAATTCTACATGACTTCATTCATTTCATATAGATTATAGTCATAATAACCTATTGTACTATAACATTTTTATATTTTACATTTTGAAATATTCTATGTTTTATTTTTAATATAGCTATATTGCTCAAGAAGTCAAAGAAGGCATTCTTTACAACTATCCAGCTCATAACCGGGATAGCTCTCTGGGACCAACTAAGCCTGCTGTAAACTATGGGAGCAATTATTTGTCAACCACACACATGAAGCCAATCATTGTATGTAAAAATCATTTCAATTTCTATTTATAGCCATCATCATCACAATTCCAGTACAAATTGCATAGTGAATACTGACCTTCATTATGCTAAAATGATATAACAAAATCAGTTCAGATATAGGTTTAGAAAGTTGATGTTAAATGAATACTATACCTACTCTTTCAGTTTGTATAATGAATTGTAGAAATGGGAGTCCAAGATATAGAGTATATGATATATAATAGGATTTAGTGTATACATAAATAAATGTAGCATGTTTTATTAATTTGTATAATATAATTTATATATAAACTACTTACATTTGCAATCATTAGAAAGGAAATTTGAAACCAATGAGAACTGATTAAATGCTAGAAGACTAAGTCAGGGATGTACTAACATTCATCTTGTACATTAACAAGATGAATGTTGGGACTATAATATCACAAAACTACTTGTTTTTCTTATATATGTATTATCCAGCAATATTCGTTTCTTACTGTAGTGAAGAGATTCTGGATTGCACAGTATGTGAGGCAGTTTAGAAGAATTATAGTACATGTATTTAGTGGCTGTTCAAAAGTAGCTAACAATCTACTACAAGGATTATTTTATTGTTTTAAATAATTATGAACTTGTAATAGCAACTAAACAGTTTTCTAAAATGACACATAATATATGTCTAATTTTTAATACATTGACGTATGTAAGCAAGCTTAGGTATTTCATTAAATGTCATGAAATTACTTTTATATTTTTAACTTCCTTGCAGGATGTTTCTACATCTGTGCCAGCAAGAGCAACCTATACTCCGAAGGAAAAGAAATACTCAGATTATGAAGAACTAGAAAACCCTTATAAAATAGGCCGTGCACAGATGAAATATGACTATTAATTTTCCCACAGAAAAAATAAATATGTTTGTGTAAATGTATGTATCATTTTAATAGCATTCTTATTATATTCTAAGAACACACTACAGATATGATTTATATTCTCTAAATACTTTCCTCCTATAATTTTGTTAATTCCCCTCATGTGGATTTTTTTTTCTTTAATGCCCTTCCTGATGACCATAAGGAAAGAACTTCCATTTCTTATATCCAATTTCATTAATTCAGCAATTTACAGACATTCATTGTCTCCAAAATTTGCCACAATGTTTGGGTGTTAATTATGAATTTTTAGTATGCTCAGTGAAATACATAGAAGATCAGTGGCAAACTATTTATAAACAATAGTGATGTGTAAAGACACCTGCTGCCAATACTGATGAGCTGAGTCCAAACCCTCAAGATTCATGGAGTAAAGAAGAAAATACATATGAAGTGGGGATGGAGGAAGAGTTAACCTAAACAAAAGGTGTATGAAAATGTCACATGAAAAGTAGTAGTTTGCTAAAAGAATAAGAGACAGGGAATCCTAAAGGTCTAGAGACCTACAAGACTGCCACCAACTAACAATTTGAGCAACTGTGGAAAGGCTACCATAAATGCCCTTCCCAGATAGTGAGATCAACAACTAACTTATCCACCATCATGGAAACCTCATCTAGTATCTGTTGGAAACAGAAGCAAACACCCATAACTAAACACTGATTTGAACTAGAATCCAGAGGGAGTGGACAAGACCAAGTTGCAGAAACACATAGAGATAGATGACCTGAACAAGGAGGAGCTAACGGGCCCCCAGACTGATAGCTGGGAATCCAGCATGGGACTGATTCACCCCCCTGAACATGGGTCTCTGCCAGAAAGACTGAGCAGTCTAAGAGACCTCAGACAGTATACTGCCTTAACTTAGAGACAGGAGAGAAGTCCTAGTCCCTACTTTAAATGACTTGAAAGATTTACATGATCCCACCTGGATGGCATTGCCCTACATGTGGAATTGGGGTGGGAGGATGGGAGGGGAGGGTGATCAGGGTGCATGTGAGGGCAGAGAGAGGGTAAGAGGGAGGGGGGAGGGAGGGAGAGGGAACTGGGATTGACATGTAAAATAAAAAAAAAAATAAATAAATAATTCACTGTATTTAATTAAAACTAGTGGCATTAAAAAAAAAAAGCCATGGGTTTTTTTAAGCAAAAATTCCAATGTTAGCTTTAAAATGACACCTTATAAGAAGTTTGTCAGGGAGACTTCAGAGGCCAACCTAAGCATAATACAGGCTCTTGGCCTTCCTCTTGGTTGCCACCAGAAACTAGTTTGATAAGAATCCATTTCTGGAGACACCAAACACCCAAATTTCATGATATAGAGAAATCAAGCTGGGAATGAGCTAAGGGTTTCTTTCCTGCTGCCAGTTGTCATAAGCCTGAAAAGTGTTATGTTGGCCACTGCAGTAGTGAAGGTATCAAAGATCTCACTCATCTATTAACACTACAAGCTACAAAACCAACCTACCAGGTAAGGAGTGTCAACTGATACACCAGTGGCACAACTGTTTTGAGACTTACCAACAAACTTCTGGTTTTATATGAGGCTTGATCCATAAACAATAATCCTTCCTTGGTACTTTAAATCCAGTAAACATTCCCATGGATGAGGTCCCAGGGCTGAGCTTACTATTGTCATTTAGTTAAATTGTCAAAACTTAAAGTTGTCTTCCAATTATCTATGCTTATATTAATAGACAAATGCTACGCTTAGCTTTAATCAGGAAAGCTTCTCTTTGTGATCAAAGAGGGTGAATAGAGAGTTACGTGAGTGTTCAATGAGTGAGAGTAAGTTATGGTTGAAGTTCAGCTATAGATAGGCATTTATATAATGCCTTTTCTATGGCTTATGGACCATTGTGGAAGAGGAGGCAGGAAAAAAAAAAACACTTAAAAGCAGGACAGGAACAGAAATTGAAATGCTGTCTTGTGTTCAGGATATAGTCAATATGATCATGATCTCATTTCAGTTATGGCCAGCTGCAATGGTTCTGAACAAGACCAGGCTTGTCAACAACAGTCTTATGTGGTCTTACCTCTCCCTGCTCAATTATTGGCTACTGAATAGTTTGCAGCAAGGCAATGTCTTCAGTTTCCTAACTACTGATGAGCTCACTAGGCTCAAATGACTAGCTCCTAACCAATAGTCTCAAAGATTATCCTGATAGAGCTCAGCAAATCATAATGAAATAAATACATGAGCCACTAAGGTGGCTTAGTAAGGTGCTTGTTGCCAATGACCAATGACCTGAGTTCAATTTCAAGGGCAAACATGATGGAAGGAGAAAATTAAATCCTGAAAATTGTCCTCTGGCTTCTATGTGCATTCAGTAGCATGTGTAAGACACCACTCTCATGATCCTTAAATAAAAGTAATTTTAATAAGAGATATGAATAGAGTAAAAGGAACTGCAGGAAGTGGTGTATGGCAAAATGTAGTTGGAAAATTAAGAGAGGTTTGGTTGCAATATTAATAAGAATACATTATATACACATACATATTTATCATAGAACAAATTTGATAAAAGTACTCAAAATTTTAAAAATGAGTAATTTATATGATAAAAATTTGCAGTGAAATATCATATTAAATCAGACAACTATGTGGAGCATAAAATTTTTGCCTAAATTAATTTCTGGAAATAAACATACATTGTCAAATGCTTTCTGCAAAATGAATAGTAAAAAGAAGAATCCCAAAATCTGGGCTCCTCTTTCCTGTACTTCCTTATTCCCCCAGCTATTTCTCTTGGAAATACCCTCCCAAGAAAAACCAAAGGTGTGTCACCTAAGTGATTTTAAAACCAGTCACATTGACAGTGAAGATCAAATGTTACAATTTCACCTCTTGTCAACTTGACAACTAAACATATTATTATTTAAAAAAAATCACCCTTTGTTCCCGTAGTCTTTAACATTTTCAATTTTGTTTAAAATTTTAAAAACAAAGGCTCATACAAGTAACATTATATAGGCTAATGATAATATAATGATATAAAACATATATAATAAGCATATTATACATAATCATATATTTATATCATATCTATATATTATGTTACATATATACTTCATTTTATTATTTTATAGCATATAATATATTTTAATAATTGTATTAATAAATATTTAATTGTATATTATATGTAAAACTACACTTATATATTATGCATATATTTATAAATATATTTATATATTGATTAAAATATAAATATATCTCAAATACGCACATATATAACAACAAATAATGAAAAAGAGGTTGTGAATTTGAAAGAGAGCAAGGAGATGGGAGCATTTGGATGGAGGTAAGGGAAGGGTTAAATATTCTCATTATGTTATAATTTCAAAAAATTAAAGAAATAGTTTTAAAAATTCATGTCTTATCTGGCACTCAACAATATTTCTTAACTGTCAGCCTATTACACCAAAAAAAGAAGTTGAATAGTTCTATACACAATTGTACAAACTAACCATTGCTATTCCAAATGAAAAGAATAAAGACAGACCAAGGCAAGATGAAAACAAAGAGGGAAAATGCTAAATCCTGTAACTCCATTTCCTTGTCATCTTCGACTCGTGGTGGAATCTTCTGGGCTCCAATGGTCTTAGGTAGCTCAATTCCTCCAGCTGTGCTTTGCAAAGCACACATGGATTCTTTCTTGAACTGGCTTTATTCTATGTCATCAGCATTCCTCAGTGGACCTCCCATGGTTGTGGCATCTTTAGCATACTGAGGTCTCCATTACAACTTAAATCACTTTCACTGCTTCATGCAGTTGCCTCTCAAGGTTTCCCCTGTAGAGAATCAACTCTTGCTACTTGTTATCTCACCTTAGTATCTTTCTATAAATGTTCTGTGACTTTGTTGTGCCATCAATTTTGTTCCTTTTATTCCTGCAGTGCCAAGTTCTACTGCCCTCTCATGATGGGTCTTATTTCCTGTAGTTCACAGCTTCTGTGAACTGACCATAGGGAAACACTTGATTGGTTAGGAAATTTCTTTCCAGAAGGATTCACCTACAGCTTAAGCACTTTCCTTTCAAATGAACATATGTGCTTTCAATTCCATTCAATTTGAAATTTTTATATTTCCTTCTTAATTTCTGTCTAGTCCCATTTTTCATTCAATAATGACTTGTTCAGTTTCCATGAATTTGTATAATTTCTGTTTTTACTTTTTGTGATATACAGTTTAAATCATGGTGTTCAATTAGATGTGGTGTGTTGTTTAAATTTTCTTTTATTTATTAAGACTTGCTTTGTCTCCAAGTATGTGGCTAATTTTGGAGAAAGTTCTCTGAGATGCTGAAAAGAAGCTATATACTTTTGTATTTTGGTGCAATGTTCTATAAATATCTCCTAGGTCTGATTGCTTTATGACATCATTTAATTCCAGACATTCTCTGTTTAGATTTTATCTTAATGACCCACCTATCGGCTATGAGATAGTATTTGTGAATTAAGCTACAGTAGCATTTTCTTATATGTACTTGGGTGATCTTGTGTTTGGCACAAAGATGCTTAGAATTACATTATCTTCTTGGTAGATTTTTTTTCCTTATATGTATGTAGTGCCTTCCCCCTTTCTTTGTTTTTTATTTGAATTTCTGTTTGAATTCTATTTTTGTCAGAAATTAAAATTACTTTTTGTGTCCATTTGCTTGAAATACATTTTTTCCATTCTTTTATTCTAAAGTCATGTCTATCCTTAATGTTAATGCCTGTCTCTTGGATGCAGCAAAAAAGATATCTTGGCTGTTAATGTTTGTTTTTATGTTGGTATCAAGGCATCTGGTCTGGAATCAGGATAATTGAGACATTTCTATGTGATCATATGTGGTCTTGTCTTTGTTGGGTGGGTGTTCCATTTCTTTGTTTCTTTTGCTCTCTCTAGATTTTAGCAAAGTGAAGTAGCCATATCTATGGTTTTCCTGGTAGAGAGTGCTTCTGTAGGTTGGTGGGT